TTATGAGGAGAGACTGAGAGAGCTGGGACTCTTTAGTCTGGAGAAGAGAAGGCTGAGGGGAGACATTATCAATGCCTACAAGTATCTCAAGGGAGTTTTGAAGGAGGAGGGAGCCAAATTCTTTTCAGTGGTTCCCAGTGAGAGGACGAGGGAAAATGGGCACAAGTTGGAACATAAAGGGTTCCACTCAAATATGAGGAGAAACTTCTTCACGGTGAGGGTGACAGAGCCCTGGAACAGGCTGCCCAGGGAGGTTGTGGAGTCCCCTTCCTTGGAGATTTTCAAGACCCGCCTGGATGCTCCTGAGTAACATGCTCTAGCTCTAGGCAATCCTGCTTCAGCAGGGGAGTTGAACTAGATGATCTCTATGGTCCCTTCCAACTCTAAAATTCAGTGAAATTAGGGCCCACTACTAATGAATAATCAACTCATCAGTCAAAGCAACTGCTTATTAGTTTCCAGTTTCTGAAGAACATTCACCTACTCCGGGAGGGTAAAACCAGAGCGTCACTGGCCTTTCCAATGATGTTAATTTAAAAGGGGTAAAACGCAACATTTTTGGTCATAGTAATTTTTCACTGAGGCAAGGCACCAAGCAGCAGGGTTGGGAAGGGCTTGGGCACCCCCAGGACAGACAGAGTGACCCCCGGGATCCCGGGGCAATGGGCTCAAGTTGGAACATAAGAGGTTCCACTCAAATATGAGGAGAAACTTCTTCATGGTGAGGGTGACAGAACCCTGGAACAGGCTGCCCAGGGAGGTTGTGGAGTCCCCTTCTCTGGAGATTTTCAAGACCCACCTGGGTGCCATCCTGAGTAACAGGATGCTCCTGAGTAACATGCTCTAGCTCTAGGCAATCCTGCTTCAGCAGGGGAGTTGAACTAGATGATCTCTATGGTCCCTTCCAACTCTAAAATTCAGTGAAATTAGGGCCCACTACTAATGAATAATCAACTCATCAGTCAAAGCAACTGCTTATTAGTTTCCAGTTTCTGAAGAACATTCACCTACTCCGGGAGGGTAAAACCAGAGCGTCACTGGCCTTTCCAATGATGTTAATTTAAAAGGGGTAAAATGCAACATTTTTGGTCATAGTAATTTTTCACTGAGGCAAGGCACCAAGCAGCAGGGTTGGGAAGGGCTTGGGCACCCCCAGGACAGACAGAGTGACCCCCGGGATCCCCAGAACACAACACACTTGAGAAAACGCCGTCCGTTGGGGTTTTTTATTCCCTCTCAAACAATTTCTAATAGAAAAGGATCGTATACAAGAGGACTCCTGTGCAGAAATCCCTTATCACTGCCAAACAGTCTTGCTCGACATTTCAAGTTGTTGCAAGAAAACGTCTCTTATTAAGCACAGGAACGTAAATCACCACCTGCGTCTATCAAAATCATCACTTGGGAAAAAGTAGCATAAAAATTTAAACCAATCTTGAAAACGAGATGTTTACTGCTCTTGGAGGATTATTTTTTGATCACAGGTAAGAAAGACAGAAATCTTTTATATAAAAGTGTTGTTAAAAATACCACAATGTTGATAAATCCCTACAGGACTGCAGCTCTTGTTTCACTCAGCGCAAGATTCTGCAATAGCTACGTGACATTTGTCACTAGACTTACCTGTGATGTAACATTAGAACCCTGTCTACACGGTGGTTCTAGCTTAGTTTTGAGGCAGATCTGGACCCGGATGGGCTGCTCCACACTGGTCTGAGCACAGATCAGAGCTCACCCTCACCCACACCCCCTGGAGCATTGGTAAAACTGAGGGATATGGTGCAGGGGAGGACTTTGTAGAGTAGGGTAGATGGTTGGACTCGATGATCCCAAGGGTCTTTTCCAACCTGAATGATTCTATGATTCTATGAAAACCCAACAGGGCTGCCTATGGGAAAACATTAGATACACAGCGTCCTTCAAAGCTGTACAGGTGAGAAAGGGTCATCTACTCCGAGTTTCACCCCTAAATCAAGGTAAAGCATCCTCCTTTTGTGATTTACTACTTGAAGTGCTCTGCTGTTCTCTACATCTGCTTCCCCATGGTTGTCTCGTACCTTATCCCCGCTGGACACGGAGCCTCAGCTCTTCAGAGCAAAACGAAAGCTCTGCAAGCAGAGCAAAATGTGTACCTACCATTTCCAACGTAGTTTTTGAATAATCTCTTACTCCTTCTATCAAATAAAATCATCACAGCCTGTATTACGTTCTCTAGCTACTGACAGGGTGGATTTAAGTGCCACCTGCACAGTTGGAATTATTAACTAAAGCTCATAAAAAAATAACAAACAGGAGAGGAAATGAACTATCACAAGGGAGTAAACATCAAGTACTTCATTGTTAAGCATCTGTACACTGCGATTACCAAGACGGAGCCACATCGGAAGCCTCTGCCATCAAGAGTATGTAATTTCAGAAAAATGCAGAGAAAACAGCCCACACATTTGGAAAGATAAAACAAACAAACAAGGAAAACACCTGAAAACAAATCAAACCCCCATCCTTGTAGGGTAATTTCATAATAGTCTCTGAAGTCGAGATTTGGAGATAAGGTTATTTTGTGGCCTAAGCTTCACAGTCGGGCAGATCTTCTCTTCCCACCTCAAAAGATTCCTTGCTGATTGACAATAGTTCACGCAGCTCTTTGTTTTCAAGCTGCAAAATCAACATTTTTGCTGAAATAGAAATGAGCTAATTCACAATTAAATGATTATAATCTTTAAGTAGCCCCACTCCTTCACAGCTAAGTAAAACACTGATTTTGTAACAAGCATTAATACAGCGCTAGCAAGAAGGGAACCACATCATTTAAAGCTTATCTTTTGCTTCTGGCTTTGTTTATATAATACAAACACCAAGAACTTGAAAATAAACAGATCGCCTGCTTTTCCTGACCCCACCCCCAAATGTTTGATTCTCATAAATCTTTGACACATGCAAACATAGAAAGTCTAAGAGGCTCCCAAAGTAAGTCTTACTCCCAGAGTAAATCTAGAGGCTCCCAAAGCTTCATCTACCCTTCGTAACTGTGTCTGTTCTTACCTCCAACTGAGCTAATTTCTCCTGAACTTTGAAGAACTCATCATCATCAACTTGGATAGCTTTTCTCATCACCTCTCCCATCTCACATATTCTGTCTATTTCACTTGCAATTTCCTGAAAGACATAAAAGTAGTATATTCAATATGCTCAGGCGAAAGCAGCAGTAATAATCAATTACTTTCATTTTCTTGATTTTGGATTATTTTTCCTACTTTGAATGCTAAACCTTTCCTCCCAAGCACGTGCAATCCTGTTTAACTTGAATAATATTTAAAGATGAAAACATGTACCTTATTGTCCATTATCATCAGTTATCGGTGAAACAGCAATTAGAATTATATCAGTCAGCAAGATAAGGCACCCTTCCTTACTAAAACAGAAATAATCTCACGTGTGACAAGGACTGACACAACAGATTGAAGTTACTGTGAATTAGTGTTAGCTGTGATTAGTATGCAGCAAATTTTATATTGTTTATTAGAAAAGCCTGACCCTGAATTTATAAGAACACTAAATATAAAAGCAAATGAGATTTCAAGACTAAGTAACAGTGTGAAGTAAACAGCATCATCTCAGAAAGAAGCCAAGGAAGGAAAGTAAAATAAGACAGGGCCTTCCAAGGCAGTTTTTACAGAATCTGTCTAGATATAGCTCTAATCCTTTGGAAGATGGGTTTTACTGAAGCCCAGAAACACACATACAATGACCAGTGTAAAACTCCAACATGTAATGTAGCAACAATTCCTGTTTGAAAAACACTCACTTTCGAAATATTTGAAGTATTTAGGGTAGAACTCAAATATGCAAACACAAAAATGTCAGTAATTGACAAGAAGGAGCAAGACAAGAATTTGGAAGCTTTTGAAGAATTTTAACATAAACATAAAAATGTTGGGAAATATCAGATAATGTTACAGGGTGGAGTTTCTTTTCTCTAAGTGTCAGTAGTTAATCCACTGCCTCTGAACGTAAACGTTACACCAGAGCAGAGAATTCAGTTTTGAATTCCATTATTCAGAAAATATGCAAACAAATTAGAGCACCTAGCAGAGAGCTGGAGGAACAAGAAAGACTTAGATAACTTAATCTGGGAAGAAAAAAAAAATGTGGGTTTTTTTTTCCTAAACAGAGAAGTGGTTATAATGAGAATATAGCTTTTTAAAAAGTATCAAAAGGCTGTTACTATTCTCCAAGTGGTACGTAGGAAAAAACTCATGAACTTAATCTGAAGCACAGATTTTGCCTAGATACTGAGACAGTCCAGGTACATTCCATCAAAGCTTCCTCCAGGATCTCTTCAGCTTTATGTTTTCATGCCATTACAATGGAGCAAAAGCAGTGCCAGAGAATAATGTTAGGAGTTTTGTTCAGACATTAAGTCTCATTCAGCAGAGTAATTCACACACCTAAGCAAGCACTGGAAGCAAGACACTGCTACACTCCTTAACTTCAGGGGGCTAATGTGTTGCCTCATACCAGTGCAAAGATACACGTTATTCCAATTAAAAAACAAGATATGAGATGTCACTAGGTTGAACCAGCGTGCTGTTCTCTAATCACATAAAATGCATTCTAACAAATTACTAACGTCACTCATAAACCTTAAACAAAAATTCAATGGTATTATATTGTCATTAGACACCCAAAGGTGAAACAGGCAGCAATGATCAGTAGCAACACCTTAAGAGTTCTGAAGTCACTGCACCAACATGAATGAAGGGACACTTCCAGGCCATTGCACAGAGTATCCAGATCTAAAAACATCTGGAGTGGTGATTTCATAAGAACTAAACATCCTGCTGCTCACAGAGGTTCTTCTCCCTTTGTTACAATTACTGAACAGGAACAATAATAACTGATGTCTTTGATTTTACTGTAGAGAATCATGTGCATTCAGTTTAACCCAGGGAATTTATCTCCTAGTGCATAAAGGACAAGCCTTCACCTGGGCCATGAAAGGGTTATGCTTTTCAGTGTCCTCTGTGACAACTGTTACAACCTGTGGGCTGTAAAAGGAATAGAGAAAGAAACAGCAGCATAGAGAGACAAGAGTTTCAGAAAACCTATTTTGGAGCAGAGACGCTCCATGGACGGAAACAAGGATTGTATGAAGCAAGGAAGAGACAGGGAAGAGGGGTCTTGATCCCTCTTCCGTCCCCAGCCCCCCTTACCACAGAATTAGCCTGATGAACTTCCAAGACCGGTTCTGCATCTTCACCTTTTCTCCCTTGCAAAAGCTGCAACATCTGCTTTCTGTATTTGCTCATGATGAGCTCTAACGCATCTTGGTGCTCCTCCAGCGACATCCACAGCTCTGCAAAACACAGCACGTCACCGCCACAAACAGCAGGCAATCTTTCCCAGCAGAAACCCCGGGGTGCTCCCTTCATCTGCGCTCCCCCAGGGGCCCCCCCGGACAGGGCAGTCCCGGGGCTCCGGCCGGGGCGGCTGCTCTCCCGATTCCCCCGGTAGCCAAGAAGCCATCGGGCTCCCCTCGCTCCCAGAGCCGGGCACCCAGGAGGCAGAACAGACGCCCCCCCGCCTCGACAAGCCCCCTCCCGCCTGGGCCACCACAAACCCTGCCCCTGGGTGTCCTCCCCAGGAGACACACCCCCCCCCCCCAGCACC